TTTTTTAAATCAGAGGAATAATCTGGGTAATCTAATACCGAGATAAGTGCTTCCAAAACTGAACAACAAAAATGTACCGGAGAAAATATCACTCAAATAATTCAAGAAAATTCCCCAACACTAAAGAACATGAATATCCACAGTAATGTGAAATTCTAGAATATTGGGAATACGAAGAAGATTCTGCAAACTCCAGAAAAAAGTCACATATAATGGACATGATTTAGAATGGCTTTGAATGTCAAACAGTACTTCCAGAACCAAGAAGACAATAGAGCAGGGGTCCTTAAACTATGGCCCGCAGGCCACATGCAAATACAAATATTGTATTTGTTCCCGTTTTGTTTTTTTACTTCAAAATAAGATATGTGCAGTGTGCATAGGAATTTGTTCATAGTTTTTTTTTAAACTATAGTCCAGCCCTCCAACGGTCTGAGGGACAGTGAACTGGCCCCCTGTTTAAAAAGTTTGACGACCCCTGGTGTAGCATATGCAAAAAGCTAAATATTCTTGGTTAAACTAAGGAAACATCCTCTGTGTATTGGAGAAGTTTTAGTTCATCTCTTTTTTCCTTTCACCAGTATTTATTGAAAAAAATAGTAAATGTCATATTTTATAGTAGGAACAGGAGAAAGTGATTAGAAAACATATACAGTCCCAATCTAAGGAAGTCTTTGTTAAATTATTTGAGGAACACACTTGTGTGCTTTGGTATCCTCTGCTATGAGAGGTGAAAGAGATGAATAGGATGACTTAGATCTTTTGTGTTCCTTTTTTATTTTTTTGGTCCATTTCAGGTCTCCACATCTTTCCATAAACCAGGTAGTAGATTGTATGATTTACGGTAGGAACTGTAAGATGGGGACAAGAGAGGACAAAATATTGTTGTGTATACCTGGCTGGCATGGCTTAGTGGTTGAATGTAGACCTGTGAACCAGGAGGTCATGTTCCCATTCCCAGTCAGGGCACATGCCCGGGTTGAGAACTCGATCCCCAGTGTGGGGTGTGCAGGAGATGGCCAATCATGGTAATGACTCTCTCTCTCTCTCTAAAAAATTCCTGTGCAAATTGGAGACGTTTTATCTTGGTAACTGCAGACAGCAAAGATGTTCGAACAGGCCTTCAGCTTCCATATCCCACACGATGCAGTGTACAGCTAATTTGCCCACAAACGTCAGGTGGTCATAATAATCTGGCCACTCATAATATATAGCCCACGTTCAAAGGCTGTTAAATCGGTTTACCCATATCTTCAGAAAAAAATCACTCCTACTATTGTGGTAAACAACCTGCTTCCCTATTTATAATGATCTGGCCCTCTGGCAACTTCAGTGCGAAATTATAGCTAATTTGCCTACAAACATCGGTGGTCATAATAATCTGGCCACTCTGTGTATACACTGTCAAGCAATGCAAGTGTAGAGTTAGAACAAGAACTCAAAATATTTACCTGCTATGCACACTTTCTCAAAAATCTACTGAAGGATGTGATATACCAAAACAAGAGAATGAATCAAAGAAGACACAGAAAATATAGAAAACAACCACTCCAGCCCTAACCGGTTTGGCTTAGTGGATGGAGCGTCAGCCTGCAGACTGAAAAGTCGCAGGTCCGATTCCAGCCAATGGTATGTACCTTGGTTGTGGGCACATCCCCAGTAGGAGGTGTGCAGGAGGCAGCTGATCTATGTTTCTCTCTCATCGATGTTTCTAACTCTCTATCCCTCTCCTTTCCTCTCTGTGAAAAATCAATAAATATTTTTTTTTTAAAAAAGAAAACAACCACTCCAACAAAGGTAGGAGAAGCATGAAATACCCAAGATGATGGTGAAGGTAGTGATCTCAGGTAACAGCTGCAAACAAGATATAGAAGACAACAATACATAATGAAGTTCAGAATACTCTAGGACAGTGGTCGGCAAACTGCAGCTCCCGAGCCACATGCGGTTCTTCCACAAAATACCGACTTCTGCGCATGGGGCACGAAGTTTCAATCGCACTGTATGTGCACGCCCACACGTGGTATTTTGTGGAAGAGCCACACTCAAGGGGCCAAAGAGCCCCTTGGAAACCAATCTGGCAATTCCCCAAAAAGTTAAACATAGTTACTCTATGATCTAGCAATTCCACTTACAGGTATATACCCAAGAGAAATGGAAGTATATCCATATAAAACTTGTACATAAATGTTTCCAGAAGCATTACTAATAGCCAATAAGCAGGAACAACACTAATGTCCATCAACAAATGGATAAACAAAATATGCTATGTCTATACAATGGATTATTATTCAGCAATAAAATACTGATACATAGTACAACATGATGAACCTTGAAAACATTATGCTAAATGAAAGTCAGTCAGTCACAAAAGTTAACATATTATGTACTATTTAATTCCATTTATAGGAAATGTTCAGAACAGGCACATCTAGATAGACTGGTGGTTAACTAGGGTTGAATAGGTTGAGGGGAAATGAAGTGTGATGGCTAATAGGTAAGAGGTTTTCTTTTTTTAATGTTTTTATTGATTTCGAAAGAGAAAGGGAGAGGGAGAGAAAAAAACAACACATTGATGTGAGAGAAAAACATCAATTGGTTGCCTTTTGTATACACTCCAACTGGTGACTGAACCCACAACCTGGATGTGCCCTAACTGGGAATCGAACCTGCAACCTTTTTGGTGTAGGGGACAACACTCTAACCAATTGAGCCACCAGGTCAGGGCTGGAATCTATTTGATTCTTTAAATTAGGGAAATGTATAACTGTGGTTTGTTTATTTTAATGTTTTAACTTGAAATAAGAAATTTAGAAGTTGCCCTAGAATAGATGGTTTGGTTATGTGGGTAGAGCATCAGCCTGTACACTAAAGGAACCAGGGTTCGATTCTGGTCAAGGGCATATGCCTGGGTTGCCAGCTTGATCCCCAGTAGGGGGCATGCAGGAGGCAGCGGATCAATGATTCTCTCTCATCATTGATGTTTCTCTCTCTCTCTCTCTCTCTCTCTCTCCCCCCCTTCATCTCTGAAATTAGTTTAATAAATATTTATAAATCTACACTAATAAAAGAGAAACATGCAAATTGGTGTCACTCTGCTCCACCCACCAGCCA